TACGTATATATGTATAAATATGCATCCTGTCAATCCTTTTGATAATGTCAAAATGTGACGTGAAGTGACGATTTTGGACCGTCTCTCATTGCAGGGCCGAGAAGCAGGGCCAAATCCCTTGTTGCTACCTGCTGAGGTTCCTCTCGGGGTATGGCAGGAAGGATCGAGGAATTTAGGGATAACTTGATAAGAAACCATCAATAAGAGTCAATAAACATCATAAAAATCAGTGTCAGTATTTGTTGGTTGAGATCAGGCTTCATAGGGTCCTTGAAGGCACTTCCTAGTTTGAAATTCATATTGGCTAGCCCTTGCAATGCCTTTTCTAGTTGATGATTCGCTCGTGTCTACACGAACAAAAAAATCACCGCACATACGGTTAAGTCAAACCGGTGCTGGTCCCAAACCCGGGATCCTGCATGTAGTAGACTTGTCTTTGTCAATGTTTGTCAATGGTGCTTCCTAAGCAATTCATGGGAACACCGGTGAAATGCAAATGCACCCCAGCATCATCCAGCATCGACTTCACCACACCGAATCCCATTGGAATCGGAGCTGCTGGAACGGGCTTTTGCAAATTGCAGGGAGTTGCTAAGTGTGAGATTTTTTCAAGTTGGCAGCATGGAATTCTTGTTGTTTTTTTCAATAGTTTTGGGCTTCGGAATGCCACATGTCATGCGATGTTGGATGCAAGACACGTCAGATGCTGCACAGGACTTCCTGAGTTTGCAGAACTTGGCCAAAGTTGTCAAGGCGACTGCAATTGGATAAGGTTCACGAAATGAGGAGATGATTTCTGGGACGACGGAGACGTCCATATCAATGATCGGGATGAATTTCATAATGAGTCTGTCTACCAATATTACCAATGTCTACCAAGATGAACAAACTATATATTGGATTTGAACAAGACAGGCATCGCTAGACGTCAACAGAAGAGCAAGTGGAGCTGGATCTGAGACTGCAAAGGGAAGGGAACAAGCTATGAACAAACTAAGGGGCTCAAGGCCCACCAGGGTGAAGGGGTCAAGGGACCAAATTCAATGCACATCCGATGTCGTAGCTGTCGCTGTCTAGGTCGCCCAAGTGCCTTTGAGGCTGGGAACATCTGGGAACCTTTTGATGTGAGCCGAATCACAGCCAGGCCGAACATCTTCACATCTTTCTTCCTTGGGGAATCAAAACTCATGGTCTGTGGATAGACTGGGCCAAGAGTATCCAATTGTTACAACAACATACAACAGTTTCCTTGAGCGACTGCGTATGGATCCACTTAGCAGCTGGTACCCACCAGGTGTAGAATCAGACTCTTCCAGGTTATTGGTTTTCCAGATGCCAGATAAAGAATGAATATGGATGAGACTAACACAGTTTTGCAATCATCGTTATCTTTGGGAAGATAGAAAGTACATGAAAGTACACTCTCAACTGCTAGGCCCAAGGCCTTTGCTCGTCTCGTTGAACGCGGGCTTTGGCCCGAAGGCGCCGCAGTGAACGCATGGCTGGCAGTCGCCGAGTATGGCTTATTCAGGATGATGCCGATCGAAAGGAACATTCTCCAAGTCTCATGCGCAGAGTGTAGAGATTTTGCAGACGCACTTTGATGATTTTGATGGGTTGAAAGCCCGCATCCGTAGTTGACAGTTTACTTTACGAGTTCTTGCCCAGAATGCCAGAATGTGGAAGCTGCGCTGAAAACAAAATTTGCCAAACATGAATTTCCGGAGACAAACATCAACTATTTGGCTGGGCATCTGCTTGAGTTAAAGGAATGGTCGAAGGGCTCTGACGGGCTCTGACTGGTTTTTCTCATTGAAATTTCAGGTTTCTGCCGAGTGGACCCGGAGGCTTGTTTCTTTTTTCTCTGGGTCCGTTGCTTTGTGGTGAACTTCTCCTACCTCAACTAACAAAAATTCTGTACGCTTCAATCTTTCCCAGGAGAATGCACATATCCAGGTTGTCTGGAAATTTAGATTGGAAGTTGCGGTGCTGTTTGCTGTTGGTTGCCAGTTGACTCATGTTGACTCGCTGTGCAGGCGACTGCGTCGCCTGAGACCACAGTCATAGTGGAGCCTTTTGTGCTCGGAGAGGTTTGGCTGTGGACCGTGTGAATCCGTGTGACATGTGTGGAAGTGTGATGGGAAAACACGGTTCTCCTTCCAACATTTTCTCTCAGTAAGGTCTTCTAAGAACATCATTTCAGGTCCTGATCTGTGACATGCAGAAAACACATTCTGAACGCTCGATGTGAGTCACTCTTCAAAGTTGTTAGAAGCTTTATTCCCGAAATAAAGATGTGGTGGAAGCAATCGATTTTGTTTTGAAACGAATACATGTTTACCAAGATGATGGTGCACTGAATTGGAGACTTCACTGTTTCGAAAGGAATAGGCAGACAACTGTCCAGGTTGGTGAAACGTGAGAGTTGAAGTTGGAAAGAACCCACAAGTTGGACATCTGTGTAATTTTCAGAAGGGCTCGGTGGCTAAAGGTGCAAATTCAAAGTGTGCTAAAGTTTGACTAACGATTGGCAAGTTACTCGTACATGAAATCTCCGATGACATGGCTTCGCAACTTGCGAATATGGTGTTGATACTGTTAACCAAAATCAAGCGGTTTATATGGGTTTATCATGTAAACATGTTGTAAACATCACTGTCCATGTTGCACTCGCAGATCTCGCAGGCACGGCCGTGGGCGCTGTGAGCTCAATTGGCACGCCGTTTGGATCGCGTCCAGGCAAAGAAGGCCTTGCCTTCAGGCCGATGGCAGGACTGGAAGCGGTTCAAAGGACATTTTCAGAACTGATTTGCGGACATCGGACACCTTTGCAATTGCAACTAGATCATATTAGATCAATCAGATGAAAAATCAGTGACCAAGAACAGATTTCCCGAATCAGCATTTCCCCAACATCATGTCAGTATGTACTGCGCAATGTCCAAGCATAGGCTTGTTGTCGAAGGATTGAGAACGAGAATGTGTCCATTTGCTAGAATATTGAATTATATAAGCAGTTCCTAGCCATGCAACCCCTTCCGTGGTCTCGATCAAGTTGCATGATGAATAGTTCTAGTCATCTCCAGCCAGGGGTGGAAATCGAACTGCAAGCACCAACTCGGACAATTTTAGTTATCCCATTTCGGAGTTTATGATTCTTTCCGATGATTCTGTACGATGATTTGCGATCATATCGGAAATGGGTCGGCAACGACGTTTTCACAGCGATCAGCTCTGTGGATTATACTTTCACCCCAGGTTAAGAGTATGCTATGCTATGCTCAATTTCCACTCAGTCAGTAACCCATGCGGCCAATCACTTACTTTCATGCCTGCTCATTTGTTCACTTAAGCAACATCCATTCACTCAATGTCACGCAGCATTTCGCCCAACTCACGCAGTCATCAAACACATCTTCTTTCCACCAGGTTTGACGATTATGGCAGTCCTCGTGGAGTGCCCGGGTCCTTACAGACCTGTTATGTGAGCTGTGACCAGCGATCAGCTGTGGACTGGCGAAGTGGAAACAGCAAAAGTGTCCTTCAATGCTCACGAAGTGTCACACGGTGTCACCATGACAGCTCTCAAGCATTGAGGTGTTGCAGCTGGGATGGTGGGGACAAAGTAAGTAGTACTTCCCACAGCAACAAGAAGAATCACAGAACGTTTTGGCCAAAGTTGGCAGGAATCACATCTCCGCGCATATAAGCTATGAGAACATTTAGAACGAATCTCTGAAGCTGAATCAAATTGGTCAGTACGGTGGCCATTGGGCGCCTTTCGTGTCATGGCGCGATCTTTGCAGCTTCTGATTCTGAGCTTCCTGGGGCCGCTTGGGCAAATCCGTGAAGAACGGACTGGAAGATTTTGGAACACTTTGGAAGTTTAGTTCGGAAAGCATGGGGTAGATTCCTCATGATTCCTCGGTGCTCAGACTTGGCACTGGCACTAGCGAATTCGTCTTATGACAAACTGACAAACACACGGGATTTTGAGTATTCCAAACTATCCATGGTCTGATTCCTGCCCCTTAGAGCCTTAGAGCCTTGATCCTTGATGAGTAAAGCGTCTCAGAAAACTCAGATGACACGACTTGCTCTGTGTATGCAGCTTTTCCTTCTCTCGCAGACCAAGACTCTGGAATGGTTTTGAACCTCTGCTGTGAGGTGCACCTACCTGACCTTGATATGTGCTTTTTTCTCCGCAGGAATCACGCGTTCATTCCATCACTCTGCAACACCCGAGGTTTGGTAGTTCGCTGGAGCTAGTGTGCCTCAGCAGAAAGCCTTATTTCTGAATTTGTGAATAATATACACGTATATGTATATATATATAGACGATATAGATGACCTATCATTAAAGGGCTACACCCACTGCCTCCCACCCCTGGGCCGCGAGCCGGCAGGTTATTGATGGGTGTGCAAAAGCTTAATTACCGATAGGGGACGATGTCAATTTGCTCATGGCATGAAAATGACGACGTGACGACGTAATTTTGCATGCGGCCGTTTCTTGAAGGCTGAGCCAACCAGAAGATGGTACTGCGAAGGATTAACACATCAGCTCGCGAATCATAGCGGTCCAAGCGTGCTTCCAAGACCCACGTGCCAGTGCCTAACGTTGCTTCCTGACACCTCTAGAAAGCCAACTGCAGTGGAGGACGGCTTGCCCATGCCTTCTACCTTTCTAAATCTCGTCCCTGCTTCTTCCATACTCCCTGTTTTTCTAACCCTCGCTTCCGTCTGCATCTCTTGCTTGCTTCTTCCATATTCCCTGTTCACAACCCTTGCCTTCCTCTTCCGTCAACCTCTAGAAAGCCAGCTCTTGAAGCCTGCGGCCGACAGCTTTGGCGGCCGCATGCGAAACGGGAAAACGCCGCACGCGCTCCCCCTTGCTGTCGGCAGGGGTCGGTGGGAAAAAATGCACGCATATGCACTAATATGCATTTTACTGATTCGGTTTGTTTATTTATGAACTTATTTTGAACGTGTATTCACAGCTACAGGAATGCCGTGATTCAATTCTGCAGGATTTGAAATGTCCATGTGCCAAAGTTTCAAAACTTTCAAAGTCCATGACGCCGATTTAAGTGCAATTGTGGGTGTCAGCTAGTGTCTCCGCCTGCATTCCTCATTTCCGTACGGTGGCACTGCTGATTATTTGATCGTATTCAACTTGTTGCAAAGTGCACGACTCATTTCTACAGAGGCAACGTTATTTTTGCTAGATTGTCCCTCTTTGTCCTCTGCGATTGTTGTTTGGGATAGTCACTTTTTGTATGTTGCCCTCCTGATTTGCTCAGCCGTTAGCAGACTCAGGAGCGAAACCTTTGACGATGTCATCAACAGTGCGGAAAAGAACGCTTTTGTAGCCATCAATTTGCAGAGACAAATTTGACGCTTTTCCTTTTTTGGTTTTGATCATAATATTATGTCATAAATGGCTTTATGGTTTTGGTCACTGAGATCACAACCATAGCTTGATAATGCTCCAGTGATCGTTCTTGTTATCATTCAGTGAGTTTTGTGAACCGCACCTTACGTTGAATGCTTCTGGTCACTGAGGTAATGTTTTGCTCTGCCTTTTGCCCTTGGTGCAAGAACTATTTGAACGCATCTCGCCACATTTTGCTAAGTAATGTCCAGTCACATTGGTTGTTTTGACATTTTATCCATAGGCAGGAAAAGGTCGCAGTTGCCAGCGCTCAGGCCACCTGGACATCTCTGATGCAACAACATGAGGGCTCTGACGAGGCTCGTTGCGTCGTTGCGTGTCCGCACAAAACAGAATTAGCTTTGAACATCTTTGAACTAGCCATCGTCGACAAAGTGTTTGTACAACGTTTTTTTCTCACTTGAGCGAAAGCATCTGCAGAAAGTGCAAAACAAATTGAAAGTTTCCTGAAATGACAGTTGAGTGCAGAGAATGAACGGACGTTGGAAGCTGCAAGACAATAGATTGCAAGCAGGAAGTATTTGAGTATACTGTAGATGCGTTCACCCTGCCGCGCACGGATTGGAGCAGTTCTGCGCAAATAGGTTTCGATGGGACAAGGTCCCCGTTGCTCCTATTGTTGCTCTGGACAAATTTACTCAAGCCCCCTGAAACCATTGGAAGTCACTTGTGTAACATATTTCGACTCTCTCTCTCTCTCTATATAATTATATATATATATATATCATTATATATACATATTTATTTGAATTGACTGATTGAAACTGTACCAATCCTGTCCCATGGGAGGTGCTCGTGGCGCACATCGACTGTGGTGAACCATCCTACGAAATGGGAGAGTTGCGGAGCGCAGAAATTCGGGGTCGATCATTTCAAGACATCAAGGGGCTTATCACACATTGGCTTTGACACTGCACTTAGGAACCGCAGATCACAAAATCAAAGAGGTGAAGTGGCAGAAGTTGAAATCACAGAAACTGTAGCGTCTCACAATCTCACAATACACATCTATGTGTGTATATTATTACTAAATTACTACAGATAGAACACGTATATATCGAGTGAGGGGGAGAGAGAAAGCGCGCGCGCGAGAGAGAGAGAGAGAGAGAGAAGAGAAGAGATGGGGAGGCCATGCAATGCACGTCGAACCTGAAATGGCATGAGGCTGCAATCAGCTGGCAGTGTCACATCTGCTTGCAAACGCCATGAAGTGGACCCAGTTCCTTGATTTGCCAAGCAGAGCGGGTGGCAAAGTGCTTTTGGTTCTTCAATTCAAGCAGAGTTGGTTGAAGACTTGAAAACGATTGTGTTTCAGCTTGACCAGACCCTGCGCACGATCAAAATCATATGCAATTCATATTCAGCAATGTCTTGAAGGGCTTCAGCTCAGTATTTCGTAAGCATTTGGCTAGGCGGGTTAGAAGATTTGTATTACCTATGCGACGTTGCACCTCATGCCAGAGAGTTGGAGAGATGTTTGGGTTTATTTGATTTGTTCACGCAGAGCAAGAGCACAAGGTCCTATCCAAGCTCTCCTTTTTGGGCCTTGCGGCCTTGCTCTGTCCGAGGTATGTGACAAAGAGGAGGGTCATATCCCAACCATCAAGTACTTCGATGTGCTCCTCAGTGGCATCATTGGATCGCGCATGGGATGCAGCCTGACGCATACTATATACAGTATATACTATATATTATATATAGATACGGTCATAATAAGCTATATGTATTGCCCAAGTCAACCGTAAGTCAAGTGATTCCAAGAAAATCTGACACTCCAAGGAAACAGGCCAAATGGTTCCGCTACAAGAAAGGCTGGGAACAGGACAGAATCCCTCCAGGATGGGAGGCATAAGCATATTGCATTTTGACTGGGAATCCAAGATTATTATAGAATTGGAAATGAACTCGGAAGACCCCAAACGGAGCATGAAGGCACCGCTGCTTTTGGGTGTAGCAGGCCAGCACATTTGAATAAGGACTCAAGTGATGACGATTACTTGAACATGATTGGGATATCTTGGGAGATGGAGTGAAAACATGAAAAGGCGCATATATGTTCCTACCGAAATCTAGCTACAGTCCCATGACTTTCTGCGGCTTCGGATCTTTCAGTGCTCCCACAGTGTGCTCTGCTCAGGACACTCTACAGACGTTTATTGACGAGCGCTTGATGCCACAGTGCAATCTGAAGACAGCAGCGCATTGCAGTGATAAGGACCGCAGACGCCAGCCGTGAGACTGTTTGAGAGTGAGATTTGCCAAGCAATTCTTGAGCCATGTTGAACCTAGAAAACATTGCCAAAATCAACCCTGCTGGTCAACTTTCCAATCAGGCAATTGTTCCAATTTGACATCAAAAGATGCACTTGCAGAATTTGTCATACACTCTCGGGCTTTCAGGATCTCAACTTTGTCCACAAGCACGAGGTAGGGAGGTGGTACTTGTCGAAAGCATTCGCAGAAGGCTTTGGATGACAAAACTCTGAATGCTGAATCTTGAAGCCTTTTGAAGCTCTCCAAGCGACCCTGAAGGCTGCCCCTAAGAAAGAATTAGACCGACTCCAGAAAATGCTTGGGGAAGGGAAGTTCAGTGCTGCGTGTCTTGGCAACGTTTTGAAACGTCGAAACCTGGTCGAAACTGCGTCAGCCGACTTCACCTCAAGTGCCCAATGCCGAATCTGGTCAAATCTTGCCGATAGCTAACTAATTAAAAATCACTAGGGCTTGTGCAATCCAAGCCTCAGACTGCTGTAGATCTTGGATTTGATATCATATTGTTGTCAGCAGGAAAGAGTAGACTGAGTATACAATAGTATACACTAATTCCACAAGTTTTCCTTGTGGAAAGTCCAGCTGTTGACCCTGGTACATTACCCTGCAGTTTTTTTTAGACTTGGCCAAGACACACCCATGGAAATCCCTTGCCGGTACTGGTTGTATCTGTATTTGATGTTTCTTTGGTCTACTTCTGACACCCTGACTGGTTGGCAACATTTGACGTGATCGACGTGATCAGCGTGATCAGCTCTCTGTCTTTCTCAGGCAGTTGAAGTGGTTGAAGCGACGCATCGGTTTGTTGAAGCAATTGACCGGGGACCAGAAGCCTGAGAAACCGAAGGAACGGGTAGAGGTGGGGCGGTACACCCGGGTCTGGTACTCATAACACGTCGTACGTAACACGTCGTACGTAACACGTCGTGCATCGTCGTAACATCATCGTAGTGCAGATCCATGGAGACCTGGCGACGGATCGATTCGCGCAGGACAAAGAGGAGCTCTGAGCTGCGCTGCCACCGTCGCAACCGTCCTGTGGCGCATGCAGAGCCGCTTTCCGAGGCACTTCTGGAATCTTCTGGACCTTTGGAGATCTAAACAGATCTTTTTCGTAGCGGCTTAGCGCCAGGTGATGCCTCAAGCATGATGAACTGCTGAAATTGAGGCTGCACCATTCTGGAGCCAAAACAAAGACACGCTTCCATTCTGGAGCGATCCAGTTCTGTCAGTTGTGCAGTGAATAAAACCCTGGTTGATTGGTTCTAACAGGGGGTTTAAGTTATGTTGCTCGACTACCCCAACTGTTGGGAATGTTCAGAATTCATTGTGAGAAACCCTAGCGTATAAAGGGATGACAGAGGGTGCTGAACACTGCTCAGTTGAACTCCTCTGGATGTCAAGCCTTGTCAGTGCTGTCGTTTCACATGTTCTGTACATTTAACATCGTTTCTGCCAAAGACCGACAACGCATAACGCAGAAGAAGGAAAAAGAGAGAGAGAGAGAGAGACAGAGAGAGAGAGAGAGAGAGAGGGGCAAGAATACGAACAGAAAGCAGAAGCTGGTTCAACGGTTCAACTATAGATTTTTCCCCACTTGAGAACTGCATTAATTGGATCCATTTGGATCCATTTGGATTTCGGATAATTTTAATTCAAGATATTCAAGGCTCGATTTTTTGGTTCCGATTTTTGGTTTCTTTGAAGTTTCTCTTAGTCATCTCAGACTCTTGCGACTTTTCGGTACCGAGGTAAAGGCACGTGGCTCGCCAGGCAGAAGCAAAACGCCATTAAACAGACAACGCTTTTGAGATGTTTTAAAATGTGCTAAGATGATTTAAGATGTTTTGAGTTACAGCTAGTTTAAGAGGAAAAAATGCATTGAGTTGTATTACTACAGCTTCAATAATTAATCTTCATACTGGCTACATCTGGGAAAAGAATACTTGAACATGGTCAACATTTTATGTTTATACATGTAATCTAAATTTGATTCATAGTTTCATAAAACAACATGTTCATACTCATACAGTTCATACATTCTCCTGCTCCGTAAACGAAAAATCACATGACGCATCCATATTCTGTTGATTTACGCTGGAGGCAGCCGCTGTCTGACCTTTGCGGCATCTCCATGGCAGTGGGGAGCCAAGTTGACTCGTGGCGGAACTGCAGAATGCCAGGTGCTTCTTTGATCTGTGAAATGTGACACATTGTGACACTAATTTTTGCGAAATCTAGGAAATTGTCAAAGCAACATCAGCAATCTGCGGGACCTATCAGATATGTTCAGGTTTAAGGTTCACCTTTCTTCTTTTGTCTCCATACGTCTCCCATATGTCTGTTGGGTTCATTAAATTCATTGCTTCACATCGCCATTGGATGTGCTCAGCGGGGCTCCCGCCCCATCGCGGGTCCCATCGCGACCCGGGCGCCTCCACTGCCACGGCCGCCTAGTCCGTCGGCCGTTTGTTGCGATGGTGGCGGCAGGGGGATATGGGGGCAACAAGCAAGACGTTGCTTGGCTCAGAGTGACAGTTTTTGTTGGCGTCTTTTGCTATCTCCTTCGTGAAATCAATGTTGATTTACAACATTTACAACGATTTAGCATCTCAAAGATATTGAATTGGAGATTTACATGAGATCTATCCATAACCAGCCGATGATCTCACATCCTTCTCTGACCGAGTTCTGAAACGTTGCAACCGAAGGACAAACGACTGGGAAACACAGGGTGAATCACCCGGGTACACGGTGGTTGCACATCGCACGGTTGCACGGTGAACATCGATGAACATCGATGAACATCGATGAAGAACATTGAAGAACCTCATCTCGACCCAGGCTTGTGGGCTAGAGTCTTCCGCAGAGAAGGCTATCTATGCTGCTTGGCAAGCCCTGAATTCCATCGGCAAAATACCAAGATTCTTCTGAATTGTGAACTTCTTGACAGCGTGATGCCAATACAGCTCAATTCATCGGAGAACTGTCCTTGAACACTGGTTTTGGACTTGTTACTCAGTTACTGCTCTGATGTGTAGATTCAGTGTCGATGGAGAGGATATGTTTGGGCTCAATTCTTCACAAGTAGCTGATGGCCATGTGCAAACCCTGCAAATGATAGTTTTTTCATGTTTCTTCTGATGTTTTCTCACGTTTTTTCTGTGTCCGCGTTTTCTACCGTCTTCTACAAGTCTTCTTGGCATTTGCCATGCCATGAGCTCAGGAATTTACACAGCGAATCTGCCAATTGCCCCACTTACTGAAGGACGCCTAGTGGCCTAGCACACTTTCCAGGTCAATCAAGAAGCTGCCTGAAGGATCTTGAGGGCGTCTGCACAGATGATCCACTCCAATGCAGAAGAAACACACACACACACCAATACATTCTCAGTTTCGCGCCCGGCATCACGGCATCACAATTCGAATTCAGAATTGCAGATGATTGCCGAACATTGCAGATGTGCATCCAACATCACTTAACATTCGGGATTGCGAGAGGAGTCCACACGACTTCCACCAACAAAGCCCTGCTTGAATGTGGCCTGGGAGACGACCGGCCAGCGCAGTTTTGATGTGAAGGCCGGTAGGGCCTGAATATGCCTGAATCCATCTCGATCATTATAGGATTATTTTTTTTGAGGCTGGCGCAGCAGTTTGCAGGACATGTCCATGTGGCATCATGTGGCTTCGGGTATAGTTTTGCATAGCACAGTTCTAGACAGGTTTCTCAGATTCGTATAGATTCGTGATTTCCTGGAAGCTTCCGGTTTGCGCAGCGGGGATGACTGGTTGCCAGCCATCGGCACAGCAGCAGGTAAAGCCAGGCTTTTTACTGGAAGACCTGTCAACAGCAAGGCTCGGATTGCGGATTCAATATATGAAATGCATTGGAAGGTCGAGTTCTGTCTTGCCAGGACTTTTCAGAAACTCCAAAGGCCCACCATGTGTAGGATTGTTTTGATTTGTTTTGGACTGTTTAGAAACTTACATGTCACAAGGGTGAACTACACCGAAGATACATCTTGCGATCCTTTGACGCAACCTGGCTCGGCACTTGCAAGATCAAGCATATGTGAGACATTTGTCTTGGGTGAAACTGGTGCTGCAAACCTATAGGGACGGTCTCAAACACAACCAGCTGGGACAATGACTCATACTGGCTTTTGCATTGCCCCCATGTACCTTATTGCGACCATGATTTTTGTATGTATATAATAAATAAATAAATAAATACATAGATAGATAGATAAATAAATAAATAAATAAATATATAAATATATAAATGAATAAATAAATAAATAAATACATAAATAAATATATATATATATATGTATGTATGTATGTATGTATGTATATATATATATATGTACATATACATATCTGCAGTTTCTTTGGGTACGCAGATAACCCATGCCCACAATGCCCGACATTGTCTTACGCAACGGTCACACTGGCGCAGGGGCTCGTCGAAGGTCTCCTCCAACAGTTCTGAAAGGGCAGACCCGGAGGTGGCAGCCGATAGCCCTTCCTGAAAAATGCCTACACATTCACTAACATCATAGCTTTCAGAGGATTTTACTGTACTGATCTTTCTTGAGGGAATGGTACCGCAAGGGAAGGTTACAAACTGAATGTCATTTGTCCTCACCATCCCATGGGAAGGTTACGAACGAGGAATGTCATTTGGATGCGAAATTGGATGGACTCGAGGACGCAGCGTAGACCCCCAGTGTTCGGGTGTCCCCGGTGTCTCCAGAGTGGGGTAAAAGCCTGGTAAAAGAGGCGGTTTCAAAAACGAAGGGAATGAATATCTCAGCAAGTCCGAAGGAACATAGAAGCCAAGCAATGCATATTGACCAATGATGACTAATGAGTCCTGGCAAATCTTGAGCGGCTCGAGGACTTAGATTTTGCAGCGTTCAAATCAGAGTCACACTCCGCCAGGAACGACTGTTGGGCTGCCAATTTGGGCAGTGGCGTCTGCGAAAACGCCTGGGTCAGGGCAGCCAGGCAAGCTTGGAATGGTCTTGGGCATTTGTTTTGCAAAAGAGATCAAAAGAGATCAGCTAAAATAGGAACAACTGTCGGCAATTGTAGTATGAATCATTATGAATCCATGAACCTCAAGAGATTCTGTGGCCACGTGGTGAGCTGCCAGGGTCGGGTCTACGTGGGCCGTGACGCAACGGGGGATTTTGCTGCACCTTGGCTTCCACTTGAGCCCGGTACGATTCTCCGTAGTGAAATGCTGCGCAGTGCCTGAGGTGAAGATAACTCAGCTCAACAAGAAGCACGTCAAAGATCGCTTCCATCGAGAGGCGCGCAACTGCACAGTTATTTCGTTCAGAAGGTCCACGGTTCACCGCACAGCAATGGCACACCTGGTATCACAAAGATGGAAGACACCCGAGCTACACTTAGCACAAAACATGTCGCTTTATAAATTTGTATGAATGGGACGCGGAAAGTTTAAACCATTTGTAGGCTACTGTAGACATTCATAAAATTTTATAGTCTGTAATTGTATGACATTATAGTAATATATTGTAGATATATTATCATATAATGATATAATTACATTGTATATAATTTCGTTGATGTTTGTTTACATTTATTTGTCGGTCGCAGATTCTTGCCTGTTGCGAGATGTCCTCTGAGGTGGAGATCATGAAGCTTCTGTCTCACAAGAGTCCCTTGGACGATGCCAAGCTGGGCCGAGCCGGACCAAGTTTTGTTCGGGACATGGCCAGATCGTGTCAGGCCTTTCGAACCTCGTGTCGGATCACAATTTTGGTGGACAAAAATCACAAAATATTGCAGTGTGGCAGTATGCTGCAGTATGTTGTGCAGTATGTTGCAGTATGCTGCAGTGCTGTATACGATGTGTACGTTCTTTGTTTATTTTTATTTGCTAGACACTATAAACTCCAGAAGCCAGTCTGGAAGACTGTTGCCTAAGGCCAAAGCTTGGCAATTAAAACCCTTTGGGACATTTTGGGACCAACTGCAGACTGCTTTAAAATAAAAACACCTTTCCTGCCACCGGCAACTTTCCAAGCCGTGTGACCTTCCCCGGAAAAGCAATAAAGAAGAGAACTCTACTTGTGACAATTAAGCAGACTTGAGAACATCAGGAGTTGAACCACTGGAGAGATAATAAGATGGAATGAGCACGTGCAACACAAATGGTGACGTTTTGGTTAAAGCCTTACTTGCCGTTTCTCAATCTAGTACATTGATGTACATTGATCACAACTTTGATCCCATGCAGTTTGCCATGCCACTGAGGCATTGTTCAGCTAGTGTCCGTTCACGTGGAGAAACAGCTGGCTGGTCTGGTTTTAAACTTAGCTGAAGGTGCCACACATGTTGTGATGCAAACTGAATGGGTTTTAAACTCTCCGATGATTCCGATGGTTCAATCCTGGGGTCTCACCAAGGAGAGGACGAAATGTGAATGGTACATGGTCAGATTTCAGATTTTGGAAGATATGCTCCTGGTCTTTCAAAGAAGAGTTTCTATATGTTTCTATCACATTGTGCATGTAGTGCAAAGAATGCAACAATTTGGCGAGCATGGCAAACAAATATAAAGGGAGTCTTTGAATGAAAGCCTGGTCAATTGCGTGACCTCCTGGTACTGATGACATAAAACATGTTGTATATAGAATATACACATATCCCCATAGCGTTTGTGACCTCCGCATGAACTTAGATCTGATTCATGAGGTGATTTCCTTGCGTTAGTGATTTTAATTTCAATATTGGACGATCAAAACCAAAATGAAGACGATTAAACTGATCTGATCAAACTGCAAACATCTGCAAACTCTTCTGTTTCTGATCATCCGATCATCCGTTCTCATCCGCTTCGCTGGAGATTTTGTGCCCCGTGGGCGCCCATGCGCCATGGAGGTGATCTGCTGCAAGCCGTTTCGAACAGCGAAAAGCGCAGACTCAAAGAGAGCGAGGCGCTTCAGAGCGACGTGTACAGACGACTTTGAAACATAAAATAACACAAACAAGATCAAACAAGATCAAACAAAAAACCTCAAATAACAATATGTAGTAGATCTATGTAAATCTCTAGGATGTAATTTTGCAACATTTTGCAATAGAGTTTGATGGACTGAATCGACTTCAACTTCCTCCAGCCCGGTGTTTTGAGGGCTGAGGGCAACGTGGCCACGTGGCCACGTGGCCACTTCGCCAGTACCGTGCAGCGTCGGAAGTGTCGCAGGCAAGGCATGTCTTCAAGCAACTTGCAGATGGCGTCGAGCACATGCACAGCCATCAGATTATCCATCGAGACTTAAAGCTCGAGAACATCCTCATCAATTCCAGAGAGGACCCCGACTGCCATACTTGCCATGCATATCTAGGCCATGCAACTGTGTATAGGAAACAATATAATACAATATAATATAGTATATAGATTAATTAATATAGCATTACACAAAAATACACAGCTACATGCCACACGCTGCAATGCTCACTCAAAAACGTGGCAAAGATGTTCAGCAGGAAACAAGGGCGTGTATTCAGAAGGGAAGTGATGTGTGATCGATGGTTGTGCACAATAGAGTGCAGACCCTCAACTGTTTCAAGTCTTGGGCTGTTTGGGCTGTCCTGTGTTCAACTGTTCAACCCATTGTTATGGATATTCACTATGCTACCAGCGGTAGATGGGCCAACCAAAGCTACCATGTCAGGTTTTCAGTCGCGTTGGTTTGTAGTACATGGGATTTAGCCGGAGCAGAGTGGGCGGGGGGGGGTTGTGAGGGTGGTTGTGGGGGGTGGTTGCTTGGTTGCTGTGCTGGACCTGCTCTCGGTTCAGGCTTGCTGATGCTTGCTGTGTATACATGTAGAATTCATGCAGAGCATATGAGATCTCGAGATCTCAAGATGTCATGTGCTGCAGGGTGTGATAGGTGCAGTCTGCAGTTGTTTTTGTGGGTTGCGTTGCATCCATGTTTCTCATTGTCGACCCCTTACATATCTAATTAGGGAGGTCCAATATATCCATAGAATTCCACAGATGCCTTTAGGCTCCAGACTATGGGCTTCCATGTCCTTCACTCTCAGCTGCTCTTGGATAGCTGCAGGTTTGATGGACGCTGCTTTGCAATATTCTCCATGTTGTGTTTTTCAGTCAACGCACAAACATCGAGCAGCGTTTCCTAATACTGTCATGCTTTGTTGTGAACTCTCAGAAGCTTGGGCAGGAGGTTGACGATTGCAAGCTCTATGAGGCGCCGCACTCGATGAGAGTCTGTACTGAGATTTACTGAGGACGGTTTGATCCTTTTTTTTTTTTCAGCTGCTTTGAAAAAACAGACTGGGGTGGTGTTCTACCTATTGCTGGATTTGATGTGGAAAGTGATTGAACCTGAAACAGCTGTACTTCCAAATTGACGTCCGAAGTGGGAAAAAGAGTGGCAGACAAGCCTTCATGCCAAACGTAATGCAAGTCTTGTGTTGGTGCCACAACATGAAGACTTCCTATAAGGACAAATGAGCCACGTCCAACTTCCCTTATTCGTTTTTAGTAAGAGGTTGCAATAAGGACCTCGCGTAAGCAAAACCCGTAATCAGCGTAAGCTATTCCCGTGTAAGCTAAAACTGTGGGCGCGTAAGCAGCACGCAAGCTGCCGCGTAAGCATTCCCTTAGCGCCTGTAAGCATTCCCTTAGCGCCTTAGCGTTGCAGAACAATACCTTTTGGACACGAAGGTTCCGCTGCTCAAATGTGGACTGCTCCACTGCTCCACTGCTCCAGGTGAAGATCACTGACTTCGGTTCCTCCAGCATTTGCGATGGCGATGGACACCAAGGGAAGTCCTTTGCCAAGGGCCCTGTGGGTACACCGCCGTACATTGCACCTGAGCTTCTGTTCCCTGGCGTGATGCAGTGTATTCGTGAAAGACGGAGGAACAGAGCAAGAGCTGGGTGCTTGAAGGGTCACTGTCAAATTGGACAATATTTTTTGTTCTGGGAACCTTAACACTCTTAAGACATCTTAAGACATCTTAAGACATCTTAAGACCCTCGGTCCTGTCATGCAACAGCTTGGTGCTGAGACATGGCGGCTGGCATGGCTTCCCGGTGGACGACTGGAGCCTGGGCATTTCACTTTTTGTGATGCTCAACGGCTACTTTCCTTGGAAGGAGCACCAAGCATCCTATGATATGCTCATGTTCTGTGACATTTAAGATGGGGCAATAGCTTTCAAATCTTTCAATAGTGACATTGGCTAGAAGATTCTAGGTCTAGAAATATGACGAAAGATGGAAGCTAACGTCAAGCAGAAAACATGAGAAGGCGAGGCACCAATCTGCCTAGTTGGAAGAAGCTGAGTTGATGTTGCTGGGCGTGTCAAACCGGGTCAGAAGCAACATGTTGTCGGGTCAGAGATGATCCGATATGATCAGAGTCGTCGCATGTCGGACAGGACACAGCACCAGAAACCTGGACGTTCGACAGGGAAAAGTCTCGGCACCTTTCCGAAGAGGCGAAGGACGTCAAGACTCATGGCAAGTGACCTGATCCTGATATGGCCTGATATGCAAAATCATGCAAAATCATGCAAAATCAAAACACGACAGAGATTGGAAATCAAAATTGGGAACATCATGGAACATCATCCAGTGACACATTTATTACTGGCCAAGATAACTGCCAAGATCATCCGCACATATCCGCACCAAGCCCAAAACTGTCAAGCATACACGTGCCTCAACGTGTAGCTAAAGTTTCACCACTTCCGTCTCTT